CTTTTGGGACATGTCAAATGTTCATCTCTTTGAGAATCCTTTCTTCTAGTGATGCCTAAAGAAGGTGCTCAGTGGAGAATCAGGCAAATGAGTATCTTCAATACTCTGTCTCTCAGCCTCCTTCAAATGGTTTGTGATTCAAGGATTTCCCAAGCTAGGGACATTTTAGAGTATTTCCATGTGTTCAGTACCACTCGGGTTTTTCTTCTTTTCTTCCTAAGTCCTTCAGCCATTTGAGAGTATGTTATTTGGGATTTTCTTTGGCATGGTATTGAAGCATGCAAAGAACTTTTTCAAAAGAAACAGAGAAGGCAAGAATGGAGTTTTCATTGATGTTGCCAACATCATTGCTTTTGTCTCTTGAAAGAGGGATTCCACTGACCTTGTCTCGGTACTCCAAAAGTCCCTCATTCCTGAATGTCAGGCTACTGGCTGATGCCTTCCAGGCTCCAGAGGAACACAGGCATCCTGGATATAGAATCCAAGGTCTTCATTTGAGGAAGCAGGCTTTCTTTACCAGTACGGGGCCCGTGAACTTGGCTCGGTGCTCAGTGGTGAGCCCCTGCTGCCTGTGGAGCATGGGGAGAAGTACTCATGGCAACCCATGTTGCTAGGCAGATGGATGATTGTGTTTTGTTCCTGCTACCGTGTTCTCAGGGATCCTGGCTTCACTTCTAGATATAATTAATGGTAATAAAGTCTGAAGGTTAAAATATATGGATCCCTAGGGCCATTTTTGTGCCTGGGTGGGATGGGGAACAGTATCCTGACACTTACATATAAAAGAGAGAGCTTTTTTCTGCTGCAGCTCTTTAGGCGTAGTCCCAGAGGCCAAGCACTGCCAGCAACTCCTTGACATTGAAGAATATTGCTGCAGTAAAAAATGCTTTTTTTTTCTAGTAACTCATTTTTAATGTATGTTCAGTCACTTTTCCTCAAGTGTAGCTTTGTTGAAGCTGGACAGGAGGAGCAAAAGACCCAAAAGATCCATAGCTGTACATGATAGATATTTACCAGGACAGTTCCAAAGCAATCCCATGGACTGAGAAGGGTTTGAGACGTTGCTATTATAAGCAGACTTCAAACCTGATTTTTCCCCTTTCTTTCTTCTGTGTTTTACTTATGGACTTAGCCAATCACTGAGCCTTCTACCTGTAAAAGAATATCTCACCCTTCTTGCCTTCCTCTCTATTTCTCCCTCTCTTCTAATTGCATGGTCCAACTTCCTGGATGTGCTGATTGAGATGCTTGTCAAACTCTTTTCTGAATTTCTTAATATGGCAGAACACTATTCACTTTTTGATGGATTGTTTTTTTAGTACTTTAGTGACTCATATCTGCTCTCAGTGAGTGGCAGAACCAGCACAAGGTAGAAGGAGGTTGTGCAGCCAGCAATAGGGAAGGAAGAGCAAGACTTGGATCTTCCCCTTTCAGCATTGGTGAATTCCATATGTGTCAGGGAATCATATGCTGACATTTTATTTAAGAGATCAGATTTTTTGCTTCTAGGTTTATGACCTATAGAAAAAGTAAAGGAACTCCCTTGCCAATTTATGTGCTTTTTGCTATTCTGTAGGTGAGAACAGGAAAACTTATTTTTTACAAAGAACCCAAAGTTTTGGCAGATAAGGTTAATATAAACATACCAGCAGCCCAGAGGAGGTCAGTGGTAGAGCAGATAATGGTGGGCATGCCTATATGTCTGTCTCTACCCACTCTGTTAGGCTTCTCTTCATCTGGTCCAAACATAGGATAAAAGCCTACTGTTACAAAGAGAACAAGTCAGAGGAGAAGCTGTCTTCCCTCCCACACATCAAGGAATGAGGTAGCTGCTCTCAGTGTAATTTACCTAAATTCTGTAGGGAAAGATACAGCATAGGCAAGGAATAATGGAGTCTTTTTCTCACTTTTGTCTGGTTGATGTGTATCATTTGGGCGAACAGATGTTTAGATAATACTCTGTTTTGAAGAGTCTGTTTCTGAGTGACACAAATCAGCTGCGAATCCCAGAGAAAGAGTGGAATGAAGGTGCCAAATGCACTTGGGCCATTCATGTCACATTGGTTAGAAAGGGTACTGTGACATGGAAATGCCTGCTGAGTGGTAAGCTATACCTGTTTAGCTGCGGAGGAGTTACAGGTAGAGTCCTGTCACAGAATTACAGTTATCCACCTGCATTCTGAGAAGAGCAAATGAATATACTTCTTTGTACCTTCAGTTACATGGTCCCCAAGGACCCACAGAGGGAGTCCTACAGTGAAGGTCTTCAGCAAGTGTTTGGTGCAAAGATGTGTCCAAATACTGCAGCCCTGAAGCCATGGGGGGACACTGTTTTATAGGATGTTACTACACCTCCTTGAACTGCTTTGTCTTTTACGTCACTTCTCCCATTTTAGAGCTGGGTTTTATTGCTGAATAACATTTCTGAACATATGCATGGAAAATATGCAAAATGTGTGATAGGACCCTGATAGCTCACAGGAATGTATGTGATTAAATTAGGTTCAAAAGTAAGGGTACCTTATGTCTATCAGACTTCAGTGGATCCAGGCTTTGTATCAGTAATGCTGGATCCTTCCATATTTTCCCTGAGATATTTTCTGACATTTTTTAAATGAAAAGTTACAATTTTAAAAGGGTATGTTCTCTTCAGAGAAGCTCTGTAAAGATCTTGCATGCAGCAGCTGATATTTCAAGCTGTTGAATTAGTAGTTCTGGGTTTCCTTTTGTACTTGTCTGTGCCAAAATGTGATTAGTTGTTTCAGCCCACTCATACCCTTGGTTTGAGATATCTGTGCATTAAGTTAGAAGGGAAACAGCCATGTGGTTCAGGTCCAATATTTGATCTGCATTATAATTGTTAACACTTTTTTGCTACATAGATTTTTTCAAGACATGTTGCCAGGAAATTTTAAAGCAGTGAGTTCTTGTTTTGAAGTGCTTTCTCATTCCATATTTTGTTCTACTCCTGAAGACAGCTGAGATATCAGAGCCCTGTGTGTCAGGAACTGGGAGAAGAAGGAGAAACAGGTGCTGACACTTGGCTGCAAGCTACTGGAAGCAAAAGGAAACTCCATGCTGGAGCAGACAATGCAAAGGAAGCACTTTGATTTACAGTAATTGTCCTGAGTGGAATCTCAACAACACAGACAGGACAGCTCAAAATACTGTTAGCTGAAATTAATATGAGCTCTGAGTCACTGAAGATTCTTCACCTAACTTAACAAGTACAAACATTCAGGATTTGAGCAATACCTTTATACACTCAGAACGACACTCTCCCCAAGGAGCTATAGTAGCAGCTCACGAGGGCTGGAGTTGGCTGCTGCAACAGGACACAGATGTTGTGGTGTAAATGATGTGTCATCTCTGTAGCGTATTTCACCATTTTCCCTTTCTTCATCAGCTTTTGCCCACTGCTTTCATTACCATCTCTCTTGGAGGAAACAAAGGAATAGCGAGGAAAGCCAAGTGCAAGCCCTGGTGAAATTGCTGGGAAGATATTATAGGTGGATGCCTGAGTGGAGTTCCTGCCTTTTCACGTCACATTTGCAGTGACTCACTTCAATTCAAAGGCTACTATAAACACACAATAATCTCAATAAATTTGCACAATAAGCAATATTTGTATGTATTTTAAAGCTGAAAGCTGTTCATATTCTGGGCATAGATTTATCATGAAAACCTGAATAACTAGAACAGGATTTTTTAAAGCTTTGTTTAGGGATATGTAGTAAACACTTGAATCAGTGTAGCATTTGTAGAAGAGCTGTAAGTGTGCTGTGATTAATTAGGTGATCTGGAAAATTACATAAGAAATGTAACACTGGGTACAATATTCAAGAACATGAAATTCCGCATTTGGGGTAGGAGAGGGAAGAGATAAGAAAACTCCATCCTTGCCAAAACAATGTATTTCACACTTTACTTCAGTTTCAAACATGTGATTGATCCACCACCACATGCCTACAACAAGGAAAGAAAAAAGTTTTCTGTGTGGAGGGGTTGAGGGAATAAGAAATGGGACCCCTGTGAGACTGAAAGATAAGAGTCTTTCATTCTGCTGCCACTGCATCCTCTAAATTTCGCTGCCATGCTGTTCTCACAAAAATTTCTGTTACCAATTTGAGAGGAAACAAATCTGTGCTCCTCCTGTAGTCAAACATAATTTGAAATATTTAGTTACTTTAATAAACTGCTCAAGTCAGTAGATAACCTTTCTGAGAGATCAGCTTTGTTAGAGAGCATAATCAGCTGTTTTCCCAACAGAGTAAAGATGTATTCTCTTGGGTATCTATTATACCATCTTTATTCAGAACCACATTCAATAAAAATGCAAAAAAAAAGTGGCTGAAAGGCAAATAACAAATGCTAAAATGTTTTAAAAAAGGGATGTTTTTTAAAGCAGAGAAGACCTCTCTAAGTTCAATGTGTTTTTTGAAATTTCAGGCTTCCATGAATACGGGGAACATTGTAACTGAGAGGTGGAAATGAATGTGTGAGGAGCAGTCGTCCACACGGGCTTTGCAAAAATTTAATATCTGACAAACAAGCACCTGCTGTGGTGAGGACGAGGTTTTAGTCCTAGGAATTTCATAAATGTTTCTTTTCTAGGAATATATGATTTTATCTTGCCAAAATATTAATATTTATATTTTTTTCTATTTTCACAGTTGTTTTTGAGTCAGAAGAACCAGGCATCGCAACCCTGTCTGCTAAAACACACAGCTAAATTTAAACTACACAGTTTTATTTAATATCACTAAGACAGAATATTTTAGCTGTTTCGGTGCGATGGTATTTAGAATAAAATGTTCTTTCACTTTCTAAAGCTGAGATACACGGAAATCTCTGCAATTGCTGGGAAAACTCTTTAAGAGAAGTGTAGTCCTCTGAAGTGTCAGATTTAAGCGGCAGGTTTAACTTGATTCCTGCCTGGAAGGGCAGTGGGGTGCACTGGGGGTCAGACATGAGGTTTGGGCACGTTCTCCATCTCTTTAGCACAGCGGGGAGCGACGCCCTACACCCCGCTGCTGTGTGCAGGAGAGGGCCCGCCCGGGCCCGGCCAGGCCCGCGTCGCTATGGCGACAGCGCCGGCGGCTGCCATGGCGGAGAAGGAGAGCGCCGAGGGTAAGGCTGGGCCGGGGCCTGGCCGGGCCGGGCCAACCCAGGGCCTCCCGCCCGGCAGAGTGTGCAGGCGGGCAGCGCGGGGGACGGGCCGCTGCGGGGCGTACCGAGAGAGGCCTGCCCGCCTAGGGCCTCCGGCGGCGGGATGGGCGGCGGCTGAGGGGTCAGCCCTGCCCGGGGCTGGTGCAAGGGTGGCACAGGGACACGCACTGAGCGACACAGGCACAGATACACACACACACACGCACACATAGATATAGGAGTGTGTATATTGAAGTCTTCAGCATCTTCACGAGGGGAAGCAGAGGGGCAAGCACTGGTCTCTTCATTCTCGCGACCGGTGACAGGACTCGAGGATACGGCTGAAGCTGTGCCAGGGGAGGCTGAGGTTAGGTATGAGGAAAAGGTGCTTCACCCAGAGGGTGACTGGGCACTGGAACAGGCTCCCCAGGGAAGTGGTCGCAGCACCAAGCCCGACAGAGTTCAAGAAGCATTTGGACAGTGCTCTCATTCACACGGTGAGATTCTTGGTGCCCTGCGCAGGGCCAGGAGTTGGACTCAATGATCCTGATGGGTCCCTCCCAACTCAGCATATTCTGTGATTCTGTGGTTCTGTGATTCTATATATGTATATATATATGTGTTTGTATGTATATATATATTTGCATATATCTGTGTGCATGTATACACACATGTACATGTATATGAAAGCACGCACACGTGCATATTTACACACACACAGAGAAATACACCTCCTGCCCCCTGTCCCATTCAGTGTGGTCACAGCAGTGCCTCCTCCTCAGGGCAAGGAGCTGCTCCCCGGCACACCAGTGTCATCTGTGGCCAATGCCACCCGCGGGCAGTGGCCACCGGCACTGGCAGCCTTATGGTTGTGTTGCTGCCACTCAACTGAGCGGCTGAACCCACTGCTTGAGTCACTTGGTCGTCTTCTTTTGCAGTCATTTCTGGATGCATCAGACTCTCTCTGCCAGAAAAAAAGTAATCTGTGCTGCTGATTGCACTGTGGCTTATTTTTAGAGGCAAGCATGTTCTACTTTAGGGAGTGTTGCCAGAAATTATATTTTATAGGCTAAAGGTAATTCCTTCTTCAAGGATATTCAAGTACCATTTCAAGGAAAACGTATTTTCTGCAAAGCTCACAATGTTGTGACTTCTGAAATCCATCCCTTCTGTAAGTAAACTTGGTGTGTTGCAGTAGTTTGCAAATTCTGAGCATTGTATTTGAAATAATTTAAACAATGGATTATTTCATATTATTTAGGAAACAATATATTCCACAGGGAAGTCCAATATAAATAGTTGCTGTGGATAGTGCTAGATGAGTAATTTGATTTTGGTAGAAGTATTTCTAGCTGCACTTTGACACATAGATGCCTTGCAGACATTAAAAAATAAGGCTGATGTAGCTTCATTGAAGACTGTTCTAAAAGTGGTTGTTTTTAATATTGGTTGTCCTTTTTGTTTAGTCTTGTGAAAGCATATGTTTTGCATCTTTCGAGTGTTGCAACTGAAGCTGAGGTGCAGTGCTGGCAGAGGTGAATAGAGATGTAGGATAGCAGCCTAGAAGTCTGCTGGACCGTCTGAGAAGACAGAATGTGGTGTTCTGGCAGGATAACAGTAGTATTGAGAAGTTCTAGCTCCATATGTTTTGGGCACCCATATGTGTAATACTGAGATTTTGCACCATTTTGGTAATCCACAGCCAGAAACTCTTGGAGAAGAAAGGTCATGGATTTTTGACTGCTCAAATAATGAATTTAAATGCCTTTTTTTGTAGCTTCAAAGTGAGAATACTTTGTAAGAAGTTTAATTATTGTATTACTAAAGACAGATCTCTTGGGTTTTTTTACACTTCATGTTTTTTTTAGATCCTGTAAAACACTATTCCCGGAGGAGTATCAGATGTCATCTTCTAGAGGAAAATTGTACTGTCATCCTAAATGTCCTTAATCCGTAAACTCCATCCCTGGCCCTGCCAGTGGTTCATGGAAAGTGACATTTAGTTTCTTTTCCATAGAATGAAGAAAATAACTTGTATCACAAGGAAAAGTCACTCGCGAGAATCACAACAGTGTCTGCTGTTAGGCAAACCAGTTGTTTATTGCCCTATAAAGGTGCCTCATTATTCTAAAGACAGGTGAGGTAAGCTAAAAGTCTCATAGCAGAAGCAATCCCCTAAGAATAAGTCACACCATTTCAGACTTGCTATTAGCCTTCTTGCGGAGAGCAGTTAGGGGGTTAATTAGGATTCCCCAACTCTGGATTCACACACTGATTATGCTTTCTTCTGACAAGTATTCCACATCTGTGCAAACTGCAGCTTTTACTTTATTATGCTTCAAACTAATAACATTAGTTGCACTGTCAAATAAGTAGTCCTTAGAGTATTCCTCTTGGTTCTTTGTAGAACTGCAGTTCCACCAGCTTTCATGGAAGGGTTTCCCTTAGGTCCTATTATCTTCCAAGTTCTGTCTTCTTCAAAGTCGAAATGCCTACTTAAATGTTTTACAGATGTACATGATGTACACAAGGAAAAATGGTGAAAGGCCAAATCCTTCTACCTATTGAACATGTTATTCACATGAGTATTACCCTCTAACTTAAGCAAATGTTGTGAATAAAATCTTGTATGTGTGTTAAGTGTTAATGGGATCATACTATCTGTAGCTATGTGGTTTATGTATGAATTTATATCCCTACATTTGTGCTTTCAACTATATTTAATGTTTTTTTCATACTCATCTGATCATCCTAGACTATTTGCTTAATCTTTTATTTCTGTACATTTGTCCCTATCTTCCCTTCTATCATTCTGTTCCTTTCCCCTTTTCTGCTACTTAATTCAGTCTGTCTGTTCTTCCATTTACTCTCAGATACTGTCTTTGTAATTTGACACAACATGTCAGATTTTCTAAGTTTTAATACCTTTGATCTCAATACTGATGTTACCAGAACCTGAAAGCAAAATGCCAGACTGGTAGTGCCTCAGGTAGAACTAGACAGAAGACATGTTTTTTTCCATATGGGAATTAAGAAAGTACATAAAAGAGAGAATACTCAGTGTTCCTGTATCATTATGGAAATGTTATGTAATTGATTGGTATTAGAGTTTTTGGTAAGACCATATTCTTTGTGCCAGATAGTGCATATTTAAAATGCAACAAAAAAGTCATGAATTTTAATCCAAAAGGGAGTATATTAAATAATCTGAGTTCCTGTTTCATCCACTTATGCCCATATGAAACCAAATAACTAGTTCTGGATAACAGATGTCCTTCAGAAAGTTACTCTATTTGGATGTGAAGATTTATGGAGAATAACCTTCTGCAATGATGGTTTTCTCTGGTAAATGATTAGTAGTTGTTCTGGGTAGTTTGAGTTACAGATGCCACATGTAATTGGGCCTCACAAAACCTCTTCGTACCACGTATGAAGACACACAGTCAAGTGGATGTTATAAGGGGAAATGGGAAAGAGTTTTCACCCCAATTTTATTATGTAAATACAGTAACAGTGTGTTCAGTCATACCTATATGTCTGCTCTTTACCTGCCTAGGTTGGCTGCCTGGCATGCTGATGAAATCAGGATTTTAGTGGAGATAACAATTGGTAAGAGCTAGCTACATATCCCATTCAACTACTACTTTCTTGCAAAGAAGCAGAGTTGCCACTACATCACCTGCCATGCTGAATCTTCTGGAATTAACATCTAAACCTTCCCTTTCCATGTCACCTGGCTCTGCCTGCCTTTTGATATGATAGAGATACTGAAAATGTGCTTTCACTGCTTGTTCTGTTTTAATAAAGTTTCAAGTCAAAACTCAGAGAGCTTAGGAGCTGCCATGAGCACTGTAGGCAGTCGTAACCATTAATTCTGCTTGGAGCACACTTAATTAACATGAGAGTTTCAAATCTGACACAGAAAAGCACTTAAGCCTTGTAAGGCTTTGGGGAATCCTGCTGAATGGGATAACATGATGCACATGACACTTAAGCACATGAGTACATTTAAGGGTCTTGCTATATTGAGGATTTTAAAATATGTTTTTGAGAGTTTCACAAATGAGCATCAGCATTTGAAAGGTACAAAAGCTATAAATTAAACACGATAAACCTTCAGGCTAGAGGAGTCTATCAGACAGATTATCTCAATTTAAAAAGTGACAGTGTTTCATTTATGGGAAAATATACAAAATTAGTATGAGATGTTAAAAATAAGTGGCTTTCATAGTGCTCAAGCAAGCAATATTTCAGCTCTGGAAGAAAATCTGAATATATGAGATCACTTAGGAAATCAGTGTGCAGTTTTATCACAGTGGAATTTACAGATGAACACTATGAATATTTTTATATTCTCTTGTTGACATTGCTGTAGGAAATTACATGAGAATAAAAGTTTATAGCCTTTATTAGACGGTAATGCAGTTTAAGATGCACCCTGGCATCAATCTGATTTACGTTTTAATATTTATACTTATTTGAGAGTGAAACAAAAAATAAATTTTGTCCATCTCACATGGACAAACACAGATTGTAGATCTGATCCTCTTGGCTATACTCCCCCAGCAAAAATTGATCTCAAATGAATGTAGAATAGGTAATTGCAGATTGACATGTTTCTTGTTTCCATGGTGCATAAGACGACAGAAGTTTTTCAGTTTGGCTCTACTTCTAGATGATTTATTGAATAAAAATTGGCTGGTGTGCAGGCAAAGGCTTTAAACTTTTCTGTCTTTTAGACAATACCAACCAGCAGATACACAGGGCTGACATGGAGCTTGAGAACCCCCACAAATTAGCTTTCCAACAATAGTTAAGATGTTATTAAGAATTTCCATGTCTACATACTAATTACTCTGAGATCTGAGGGGTTTGGAGGTTTTTTTGCAATTTTGGAGTACCTGTATTTTGTGTGAACAGATACTGCTTCGTTGCTGTTGGCAATAAAATGTGTTGGGCTGGAGGTCGTGGAAGGGAAATGG